GTTCCCGAAAAATTTGGGAAAATAATAGTAAAATTTCTTTAAAAACACCGAAATTTCCTTCCACGACTTAAAAACGACGCCAAGGGGGACAATTCGCTCCTTTGCACTACGGGGTGCCCGCCGCCGCCCAGTGACCCGGACCGGGTCAGGTTGGGTCGGGATGATCGCCCGACTCGTCGCCTGAAAACAACGTGTTTGTTTTGAAACAACGAGTCGGGCGCGATCGACTTGTGCCACGATAGCCGCTGTGCACCATCAATCTGGCGAGCAAACCGACCCAATAGTCTTGTTTGGACTGAATCATCTTCTAGTCTAGCTAGATCTAGATCTAGAGTAAATATCAATTGTAAACACGGTCGTCTGATTATTTGCTTGCTTGGTTCCGTTGCACCAAGTAGATAGATCTGGTATAAAAATTTGTGAAAGACTTTAAATCTTAGGCTAGGAGGCTAAACATGGATCGATTCATCCAGAAAACCCCTAAAGGGGACGTTCAAATAATATCATCTTACGCCTGGAAATGGAGGGGGGGGGGGGTAAAAATGGTAACCAATGGAAGTGAGGTGGGGGGAGGGAGGGATTCTTTCTTCAAGGGCACAAAGAAAAAAGATTTAACGAATACTCTCTTTCTTTTGACGTCAGTGAGGCTTCACACCTGAGATAAACTGTCCCCGCAGTTTTATGCCAACAAAAAAATTCAGAAATTAAGCAAAAACTGTGAAATCACGCCATTCTGTTAACTTTAACAAAGAATGATAAAAGGAAAATAATCAGAAATTATGCCCAAAAAATGATCAAATTTTGCTAAATCATGCGGGGTGCGTAAAACTACGGGGATAGGATAAACAAACTTTCACTTCATACCTTTGGACTCGCGGTCTTTGTTAAATTAATGTAAGCCCAGTAGGGCCTACCCTTCTTCAACAAAACAAAGTTGACCAACTGTTATGTGCAGTGAGTTGAGGACAATGAAAATACGAGTAAGAATAACACAATTAAATAATAATTGGTCGCTTTTAAGAGCAAACGGACTAACCCAGATTTCAGGGGTTCCACAAATCTTGACCATCACCAAAAGTATGCATTGCCCTACCGATTGGAGAAGTTTGGTTTTATTGGAGTGAATATTTGTTTGCTTTATAGAGAAAACTCCATGTCTTTTAAAGAAACTGAACAAGGGTCCAAAAACTTTTACCTTCGATTTTCTCTAAATGTTTTTCGGGATAGCCCCTTTGTGCTTAAAAGCGACAAATTGTGTCGTGCTGATGAGGCAGGCTTCTTTTCTATAATAACAATGACACTGGGAGCTCTCGTGGCCAAGAGGTTAAAGTGTTGGCCTCTCATTCAAAGGTCCCGGGTTCGAATCCGGGTAGCGACCGAAAAATTTACTTCTCTAAATTTGTCTCCTTTCTCCTCATTTCCTGCTCTCTAGCAATGTTCTGTCGTCTGCTTTCGTCTCCTCTTTCTGCCCCCACCCCCTCACCTCCTTTGCCCCCACCCACTCACCTCCTTTGCCCCTTCCTCTGGGGGCTCTTGATTCTTTCTGCAGCCTTTCTACTGCTTCTCCTTCGCTTCTTCTTACTCTTACTGCTGTCTTTCAGCCACACCCTGATCTTCTGAAATAGGTCCTATTGTATAAGTTGCTACCTGAGTTCCAAAGTTTTATCTGCTTAGTACTTTGTTTTGATAAATATTTGATGTCAAAGATTTTGAGTTTCACTTTATGTCAAGCTTTTTCGAATGCAATTCTTTGAATGTCTTGACAACGATTCCCAATAATCTTACGACTTTGATAGTCTGATAGAACATGTGGTTTCTGACCTTGTGAATCTTATTCTTAGTAACTCAAAACAGCCGAACATGTCAGATAAAACGTTAAATGCCCCTTTCAACACTGTTAGGCTATTTCAGAGGCGGAACCAGTGAATTTATTTAACGTCCATTTCCGATATGACAGAGGCAAATGGGTTGAGGGCTCTGAAACTTCACAAAACAATCGACGTTTCATAAGACGCCCAGTCCGTAATTCGAACCAGGGCCATCTGCTCTGTAGTCCAGTCCAGTATCATGCCAACTGAGCTAACAGTGAACTCATAGTCATCTTCTAGAGCTTTTTTTTTTAGTAAGCGATTTACGGCACTTGTAACACAATAAGGTCATATAAGTTCCAAAGATTAGAGGGTGTTACAAGCCAGTAACAAACACAAAAAAGGAGAGATCAGGACGATAGATGTTTGATAGGAAAGAAGAAGCAGAGCACCCGCCAACCACCCACTACAAGAGAGTAACAAACACAAAATAGAAGGATGGGAGATATAAGGACGATAGATGTTTCACACGAAAGAAGGAGTAAACCACACCAGAGCACACGCCAATATTATTAACAGAGGAAAGGTAAAAAAGCTGGACCAACAAGTGGCGTCTTCCAACTACTCTTGGGGAGGTTGAGCGAGGAGGAGAGAGAAAGAGAGAGAGAGAGAGAGAGAGAGAGAGAGAGAGAGAGAGAGAGAGAGAGAAAGAAAGAAAGTAGGGAGGGATCAATGAACCTCATGATACATGTACTTCACAAACAGTCAAACAACTTCTGAAAAGACCACGTGTACCAGCTGAAAAAAAGACCTTCCACAACGACACAGACATGGACTGGGAAAAACAACACCACTACACTAAACACATTGGTTTCATAAGAAATCAACTGATTT